CTTCTCACTTTAGTTGGAAAACACTTCTGCCACGAGAAGGCAGCGAGTAGGACTTCCTCAGCAGAGGCTTTTTGAGACGCTTGCTCGTATGGAAACATTTCGGGAGATGCAAGGGAAGTTTGACCAGCCCCAACCATAGACGCCCACCTGAGTCTTTCGGAGATATTGTGTGAACCTACTGTTTCGTGATGAAAAGCGGCAATTTGAGCCCCGGGACTTGGTTTGGCGAGCCACATAGTACCTCTCTAGGCTAGGCGTGGTATTAAACCGGACGACAGCAAAGCCGCCTACCACCAAAGTTGGGTGGCAGTAGCTGGGCTTGAAACTCGACCATAGGGTCCAAAGCACGTCGTTGACAGCGACTAAACCACTGCACCACCACCACCCGTGCAGGAGGCAAAAAATGCCACGCTTCCTCGCAACTCCGAGTTTCGCACCATTTTCCCTTTGTTTCGGTGAACATCGGCTTTCCGTGCCATCGTGTGAGATTGGATCCTTGGCACGTAGCACAGTGAATTACGTCCACGTGGTGTGCATTATTATTAGTATCTTGTGGTATACTGGCATGTTTGTGAATCGCCCAAAACGAACTTGTTTGCCACTTTGAATTCTATCTGTCATTCGTAATCTACCATCAGGCAGCTTTTTATAGATGGGGATATTTCACGATCAAAAACGATATATGCGAAGGTCTGTTGTGAAATAATAATAGTTTCCTTAGTGTTTCAGTCATGTTTGTACTTGCTGACAGGAACATTTCAGGATCTAGGACGCAGTGGATAGCCCATTACGTCAATAAAATCCAACCAATATTTGATGTTTATCCTCTGGGCAGCAGAAGCAAAAATCTGTTTTGTACCGATAGGGTTTTTGGGTATGGCTTTTTCTAGCCGTGTTTGAGCTTCCATACTATAAGTGGACCGATCCTGTGGTTCGTTGGATCGCTTCACATGTCAGATATTCATGGATTGGTAATCTTTTACCAATTTTGTTTTCAACACTGGTTGTGTGCGGTGACAACCTCGCATTAACAACACAGATGTTCACCAAGAAGTCGCACAGTCAGTGCAAGTCCTTGAGCGCAACGATCTGTCTTCATTGGTTCCTATAGTTCGATCACGTATTACGTATATTAGGCAGGCAAACACCTCGACGTGTCCAATTTCCCCTCGCAGACAGTCGTTTGAGATAGAACAGTAAGGATCGACAAACAATTCAGGGATAGAAAGCTGACTTCTTGGGTAAAACACCATAGATGACAGACACCTCTGGAAGCTATCTCTGATGCATGTGGCGGTAAGTCACAGTTAATGGCACCATTAACCAACTCATTCTTTGTTCAACACAGTTTCCTACCACATCTTAAGGCACTGATCAACGATTGTCTGAGTCACCAATTTGGCCCACTTTTTTCCCCTTCGTTTCCGTTCATCCTCCCTTGGCTGGGCTCCTTTCGACATCAACTGATCTCTTTTCATCCGCGGAATCACAGTCATCCTAGGTCGCCTGATCTTGGAACACGTGTCCGCATCTAATCTGCACGCGTGGACCCGGTGCAATCGGAGCTGTTTTGTCCTGGTCAAGTGAGTTTGGCTCTACATCGCTCTGTTTGTCAATCCACTCATTTTTTACAATCCGCTCATACACGTATGGACGCACGCTTGAGTTGGAATCACGCTACAACGAATCAGAAGATTAATCAAAGCACCTACATCCACGTGGGGAGGGGAAAAATAGAGATCGACAACCATCGATTGATGACTTGCCCATTACTAACTGCTCTGTCTGCTAATCAGAACCACCACAACCGCCATTGTATTTGCGAGGGAAATTGCTGTGTGAATGCCGACTCATGGGCAAGGGCCTCCAGTGCTACCAGAGACACCAAACCGATATAGAACAATTAGAACGAAACTGTCGCCTGGTGTTCTTTGTCGTTCCCCGCACACAACACCTTCCACCACACTTCAGTACTATTCACTGTGTGCGGAATAAACGAACTTCAGAAGAAGCAAAATCTACAATACCAGTAGTATGTTGTGTCTGCGGAATGAAATAGTCTATCCCAAGCAATCAAATATTAAATGTCCCGGTGGTGAGATTTGAACGCGTGATTTAGCGACCATGGTGCCGACCCATTTATCGCTCTATGCTCGGATCACAACATCGGTTTATCATGGTTAACGCGATCCCCTGATACTTTATTGATCCTGAGTTGGGTCTACTTTTTGTGATGAACTATTTGCCACCTAGCATGTTGGTCTTAATTACTGCAACATATTCTCGTTTTTACTGGTTTTGATCAGAATTAAATTTAGACCAACTGTTAACTCTAATGTTGTACGATCTTCGTCGTAGACCAAATACATTAGTCTGAATTTCTGGGAACCATGTTGACAGTGGAAACCGGGAATCTAATGGGAACACTAACATCCTACTCATTAAATCAATACCTGATCAGACTTATTGAATAATGGGGAATGGGTGATGGGGTTAAACCCACAGTGACCTAACCCATGAGATTCTGCGGGGACAAAGTACACAAAATCGCCATCTCACATTCGTGGTATTAAGCCGGTGGGTTGCGTAGCTACGCATTACCCAAACTGAATGACCGTGGTACGGCCAGATCTCGGCTGTTCGAACCCGGGACAGACTTCTGGCCCTAGTGTATACTGATTGATTACTACCTATGCCTAGCCCAGGTTTACCGACTTATTACAAGCAACTAAGCACGCAGTCCCAATCGAGGTTACAAGTGAGATAATCCCGGATAAGAGTGCAAGGCTTCTGTTGTCTTTTCTAGCTTATCGTTTCGCGTTTCATTCGACCGATCTTCCGATGTCAAATAAAGCTTCCAGCCGTTTCTTTACACTTTGTATTACTGACATCATCGACCGGGGTGTTTCCTTAGCCGAAGCCGAAATTCGACTTGATCTGTTCATCGCGGCGTTCAGGTAAGTTTCTTCAACATTCGTTTCTTTAGAGGACGGGGGGAACTATGGCTTTTTTAGATACCTTTGGAAAAGCGTGTAGTTTATCCCGATTTAAAATAACATTTCTCTCCTTTTGCTTCTTTCTTCTAGCCTGTACGAAGTTGGAGATGCCGAAGTTTGCCGCTCGCTTCACAACATCCTGGCTCCGTGCATGGATGAATTGTCAGTGTCTCCGTTACCCGGGGCCAAAGTTCTGCTAAAATTGCTGCAATCAGCTAAGGTGTAGATAAAAAGCACTAACCTAATTATCCCCATTTGACTTACTCTTTGGCGCCTGAAAACCGTATGACGAAATAAAAATCGGTTTACTCGTAAATAAAGTTGATCTTGTTTGCAGTCACGTGGTTGGTCAGCATCGTTTCGGTTCATGACAAAACCAGCTAGTTGAGGTCGAAAAGATCCGTTGTTTGTGCTTAGATCATGTGCTTGAATACATTGTTACTCTGATCAACATTTAGGTAACTTCGGTAATTAGCCTCGAGTACTTATCGAGTTCTTCGGTGGGTGGTTCAACTGTGAGGCGACTAGAGAGCTCTACTTCGAAGGCCCACTTACAGCTTTGGCTTACATCGTACTGCTATTATTCGTTTTCCAGTGGTTTTGGTGCGGTTGTTCGTCAAGTGTAAACAGAATCTGGCTCTTAACAATATCACTTTAGACAATCATTAATCATGTACTTTTTGGGGCCGGTTGTGGTTGCTGTCTTTTGCCTGCCCAATTGGATAAGAGTGAAGTGAAGATTGGAGCGCTGAGAGCAGTTTCAAGGTGAAATCTAGATAATTCATAAAGGGTGCGAAGTTGCACAAGTGTCACTGTTTACGGCACTCAGCTACATCACTCAGTTTCTAACCATCAGTTACACTGATCCCGATGTCCTTATCCAGGAGGCCTAGCGCGACAAGTCACTTGGTCAGGGCTTCCATACCCTCGTTCCTAGTCCTAATTTAATCACCCTCCAGTTTTTTCTACCTATCAACTGTCTCGCGTACTGTGACAATTGATTTAGTAACGTCTATCACAACCAACGTAATATTTTTGGGGTCAGGCACTCCAATGTGCGACCACGGTTACCTAAAACTCCGCGCCTGATCTCATCATTGCTTGTTCGGTTGCCCTACCGGACTGGTGCGTGTGTTTACGCAGATAGCGGTGTTCAAACACCGACGGTCGATCTTTATCCGTTGTTCTTGATACACAAGTTTCTGCGCCGCATGCCAGAACTGGCTGAAATTGCGCGCCATATACTCGACTCTTCACAAGCAGCCGTATATCGCGACGACGCCACAGACGTCTTAAGTTGTCAAATGCCGGTCGAGCCTTCTGTATGTGAGCCGTCACTTCGTCCGTGATGCGCCCTCCAGATGAGATATAACTGCCTAAATGGCAGAGTTTGTCCGATTACTCTGTTATTTCCCTAGTTAGAGTGAGGCTGGGTGCTGGACCAACCCAATCTTGTAGTAACATTTTACACTTTGAAGGTGCAAAACGCATACCGAATATAGCTACACTGGCATTCACAGGTTCTCCAGAATAGCTCGCAACTTACCTAGATCTTCACTTAGTAGCACAATGTCGTCTGCATACTCTAGATCAGACAGCCTGCCACCTGCGAGTAAATCGATGCCACCATCCTCGCACGAGGATAGGGCTGTTTCCATAATCAGGTCTATAACAAAGTTNTGTGTTCCAGCCGTGGGGGCTAAAGTGAAGAACTTATCTACTAGGCCCGAGGAGAACAAGTGGTGTAGAAGAAATAAGTCACCCC